TTCATAATGAGATTAAACTTACACTGGGGGTCTCTACGAGAGCTAGTTCCTTCCTCTAAATTAATTTTATGAGAACAGACCAAGGGACTAACACCTTTTATATTAGTAATGCTTCAACCTAAGGTTGACTTATGCTTACTTAGGGTCCGAATTAATTTCTCATCTTGAGACACAAATAATTCAGATGAGATAATAACAGGAAAAATATCACCTGGACCAAGGAAAGCATGCCTTAAAACCTTAGGCAGAGGCTTCAATTCAACTTTGGGTGTTTCCACACTTGTAGGAATTTGTTTTTCACCTTTCTCAGACAACTCCTCAAACTTTGGTTGCCATGCCCGAGTGCCATAGTCTTGAGTCTTATCAAAAATAGCATAAATATCAACTACATCAAATGGATCACTGATAGAATCAAACTCAGAATGAACAAGAAAATACTTAAGAGGATCAAAATCATGAGCTATAGAAACTCTCATATCTATAAGTGAGTCAATTATATATGTCTGGTGGCTCTCATCATCATCTTGTGACTGTTTTGCAATATAGACAATATTCACTTCGAGAATTATGTTTTCAAAAGACAGCTTCATGAGGCCATTCCTATAATTAATAAGAGTATTAGCAGTGGCAAGAAAAGACCTACCTAAAATCAAAGGAAATTTAGAAGTAGTATCAACAACAGAGCTAGTGTCAAGGATTAGGAAATCAACAGGATAATAAAACTTGTCAATATGTATTAGAACATCCTCTACCACGCCCCGAGATACTTTGACTGAACCTTCAGCCAATTTCAATACCACAGTGGTTGGTTTGATTTCTCCCAACCCCAACTGCAAATAAATAGAATATGGCATTAGAATCACGCTAGCTCCTAAATCTAGCAACGCTTGCTCAAACTTATGATTTCCAATGCTGCACGCAATGGTTGGACAACTAGAATCCTTGTACTTTAGAGGAATCCACTGCAAAATTAGAGCACTAACTTGCTCTGTTAGGAACGTTGTCTTCTTCACATAGTGCTTCCTCTTAATTGTACACAAATCCTTGAGAACTTTTGCATAAGTAGAAACTTGCTTAATCACATGCAAAAAAGGAAGATTGATTTTTACCTGCCTTAAATTCTCTAGGATTTCATTGTTAGGATTCAGAGTTCACTTGCTTGATTTTAAAGCTTGAGAGAATGGTACCTTAACAAGGCTCTTTATCACCTTAGGTTCTTTGGTCAACTAGGCATCACTACTATCTTGATCATTTTCCACATCCTCTTATTTGTCCATTGTTGGGATGTGTAATGAATCACCACTTCGTGTCACAATGGCATTCACATCCTTCAAATTCTCTTGCGCCATGTGTTGACCATGAGGTGCAGACTGAGCTTGAAAAGGGAACTTATCTCACTCATTCACACTCAAGGAGCTCATCAATTTGGACACTTGGCTCTTTATCTCTTTGTTTTCTTCAACAACCTGCATAATTCAAGATTCAAACTTGTTATTAGTCTTATCATGTGTGTCAATAAAAGCATGCAAAGTGTCTTCTAAAGGACTCTTAGAAGATGAAGGTGCATGATATGATCTAGGGGATTATGCAAGTAGCTAATTTTCAGACTTCCAACTAAAATTGGGGTGATTGTGCCACCCCAAATTATAGGTATCAGAGTAAGGTGTAAAAGGTTTCTTGTACATACTTAAGGCATTACATTATTCCTCATACAAGTCTCTTATCTCAGCAAATGTAAGACATTCTTGGGCGAAGTGATCTACCCCGCCACACACAAAAAATGGTCCAAAAGACTTAGCATGATTAGCCACGTGTGTTGANAATTATAGGTATCAGAGTAAGGTGTAAAAGGTTTCTTGTACATACTTAAGGCATTACATTATTCCTCATACAAGTCTCTCATCTCAACAAGTGTAAGACATTCTTGGGCGAAGTGATCTACCCCGCCACACACAAAACATAGTCCAAAAGACTTAGCATGATTAGCCACGTGTGTTGACTTTAAGTCCTTAGTCTTTAACATATCTAGCTCTCTAGTGAGCATCTCAACCTTAGCCTTTAGGCTATCCTCTTCTCTGAGATGGTAAATTCCACCACCATTTGGGTTTCCTGCAGGTCGTAACCTATTTGTGCTTTTAGTAGCACTAGGTCCAGTCCAAGTGTGAGCTTTTTCAGCAAGCTCATTGAGGTATTCTATGGTCTCATCAGGATCTTTTTGTAAGAACTCACCATTACACATCATCTTCACAAATTGGCGCTCTCTAGGTGTAAGTCCCTCATAAAAATAGCTCACTAAGCGTCAATTCTCATATCCATGTTAAGGACACACACTCAACAACTCCTTAAATCTCTCCCAAGACTGATATAAAGTCTTGTTGTCCTTTTGTGCAAAAGTGGAGATTTGTCTTTTTAAAGCATTGGTCTTATATTGGAGGAAATATTTATTAAAGAAGACTTGAGTCATCTCACTCCATGACCTAATAAATCGTGGTCTCAGCGAGTATAGTCAACTCTTAGCTCTATCCTTCAAAGAGAAAAGAAAGAACTTAAGTCTCACAACATCATCAAGTGCAATTTGATTATGATGCATGATGGTGTGTATATATAAATTTTTATTTTTCAAGCCATGAAAATTAGGGAGTAACTGGATCATCCCTGTTTTAAAATCCAATTGGCGAGTATTAGCTGGAAACATGAGGCATGATGGTGTAGATGTACATGTAGGGTGAAAGTAATCATGAAGAGTTCTAATGGGTTGATCTTCGTGTTCACCCATTTTTTCGGGACTTAATGGATTGTCAAATAAAAGATTTAAAAAATTTGATTCTAACTCTACAACAGGTCTACTAGCAAATCTACCCAATGTGTCCTTATATCTGTGCATGCAAGACAATGGAATACTAAAAGAATAAAAATACTATAAAAAGAAAAAAGAAAAATAATAATAACAATGCAGCAAGCTAAAAGAAAGGAACGAAGTTACCGCTTTTTCAACTATTGAAAAGAAAAACTATTTAGCAATTCTTCCACCGTCTCCCTGGCAACAACAGCAAAATTTGATTACGCCCAAAGAATAACGCGGTAGTTGTAGCACATCTTTGGGGTGTCGATTCCACAGAGAGACAAACTAAAAAAAATAGTAGAAGGAACAAAGAAATTAAAAAAAAATTTAATAATTACTGGATAACAAAGATTAATTTTAAATACAAATTAAAGTGAAACAAAGTGACTAACGGAAAAAGTACTCAAATTTGACAAACCGTAAAACGTTAGGAATCTCTTGCACAAATCTGATATTCTAATTATTCTTAATTCATTGAATAACTCAATTGAGAATTCAATTCCCAAAATTCTCAATCCGAAGTTATAGATTTATAAACCAACATTAAACCCAATGTAACTTTTTGAAAAATCATTCACCACTTTAAAAATACATAAATTATTATCACTATTGAGAAAGTCTAATGACGACAATATACTTAAGAAGCAATAATATAGTAAAGAATTAAATTAATATAGATAAATAATTGATCCAAACATAATCAAAGAACTAATCCGTTCAATAGAAAAAGCCTGACTGAATCCATAAGCAGAATAAATTTTATGACTATTCAGAAAAGAAAAAATCAATAATAAATTAAGAATGATAAAACAAAAGAGTTTTACTAATTAGAAATCAAATGCATAAATTAAAAATAAATAAAATACTATCTATTCTGCAAGTTTGTCCTTTGTCTTATCCGAAAATTTAATTAGTCATAAATATAATAGGCAACAAAAATTTCTTAAGAAAAATTGAACAAATCGGGAGCATCGGAGCTTTTTTTTCCTGATCTGCGCCAACCCCCAAAGAAAAAGTGCAGCCGATTCCTTGTGTTTTCTTCTAGCCGCCACAAAAAAACAAATACAAAGAAAGAAAAAAAAGATGCTGAAACCTAAAAGGTAATCACCTTTTGAAAAAAATATTTTTTCTCCCCCTCTTTATTCTGGTCTTTCTATTTCAATCTCTAAAGCCTAAAACTTGAATAATTTGAGAAAGATAAAACTCAATAAAAATTATAAATGTTAGGCCTAAAAGACGGCTGTATCAATTTCAACATTTTTACTCCATGGACTGTCATCAAAATAAAAAATATATATAAAACCCGAATAATAAAGTCCCAAAAATATTAAGTGCAAAACACAATTGTAAATTATCTCTCACCAACATGCAATATTTAAGATTTAAAATATTATAAAATAATGTTCAAATATATCTCAATGTGCATAGATATTAAATTCAATAATATAAATTATATCTAATTATTTCTATTCACATTTTAACATTTTAATTCAATATTAAAATATTTAGACTGCACTTTTACTCAATCGTCAATATATCACCAAATAAATTCACAAAAGGTCCGATCTCTAAATTTTTCAAATAAATATTTTACTCCTTTTAAAAAACTTTTGCAACAATCACCATTACTCAAAAGTCAACAAGTCAACCTTCCCTCTCTCTCACCAAACCCATCAAAAACATCATATGGCTATCCTCATCCTCATCTCTCTCTCTCTCTCTCTCTCTCTACATCCCAGACAAATAAAATAACAATCCATAACGTACACATACATAAATTTATTTTCTTGCTAACCCGTGCCATTCGAAAAAGCATTAAATTTTTTAAGTTCTTTATTAATTTTTNGATGCTAATGGTAAGACCCTTGTCGGTGTTTGCTCGAAAATTTTGGGAATTGCTTTGTAGTTTATGTTACATGATTGATTGTGCCTGGTGTATGTGAATTCCGTCTGTCTTGTCATCTATATTTATTGTTTTGTGTTGAATTCGAAATGATTATTATTTTCTTGTGGAGTTCTTGGATGGGTTGGTCTGCACAAATGTGTGTCATAGTTATTTTGGAGTATCCCAATTATATGGCTTTGATTCTTCATTTTTCCGGATCTTCTGTAGTAATTCTAAATTGGGTCTGTCTTCCTTTCGCTGGAAGCAAAATCTATGTTGGGTATGTGACTCATGATTCGGGAGTGGACCATTGTGCATCTTGGGTATGAATTGTTGTAAGTATAAAAATTTTAGAGCAGACGATTATTTAACATGGTAGAGTAGAGCAAGAGTTCTGTGTTCGAATCTCGCCACCACCCTCTTTATTTAAAGATTTTCACTTGCCAAAGCACAATATCCAGCACGTTAGAGAGTGTGTTGAAGTGTAAATGCTTAATTTACACCCTCTTTAACAATTTAAAAGCATTTAGAGCATATGGTAATTTAACATGAACCTTAATAAAACCATTCATTCCTATGATTCTGGATTATGCTCTTCCATGAACAATGATGTACATTTTCTCCTTTTTCATAGTGGTTTATCTGGCTACTATATGCTTTTCTGGGGCAATATGAGTCGCAATGCTATTAGTATAGACGTCAGGTGATCTGATACTCACTTGATCTATTTGACTTCATGTTCTTGGCATATTATTTTTCGTATGTTAGTTGAACATGTGCAGCTCATATTTATTGGGCATCTTTTAAGCATCATTTTGTCATATCAGTTCTAGTTACATGCATTCTTTTCTGTGTTATTTGTTGTCGAAGCCAAAGATGGAACAATTTCTGTGGCTTCTGCATTTGCCGGTCACGAAGAAGGTATTCCCTGTGTTGTCTCTCATTTCAAATTTTAGTCTTCTTTATTATCGTTATTATAGGATTAGAAAATAATTAGAATACAGACTTAGATGTAGTTTCATTTAGTTTTGATGATATGTAGCACTATTGGAAAAATTATAATAGGCATTTTATACATAAATGTATAGACGGATGCACAGTTTTGTTATTGGGTGGGATGTTGAATTATACCTTTTTGTATTAGTTCTTCTTTCTTTTCTCCATTCTTTCCTCTCTTTCCACTTCCTATCCTCCCCTCACCCCAACAAGAAAATGGTATCTGCTGGTAAAGCAGATATCCTTGGTATCTTCAATAGGAAAAATGAGGGAGTCAAATTTATCTCCTTCGTGTCCCCCATTATCATTCACTTACTGCTAACCGATTTTTGAATTTAGAATTTTAACTCAAAAAGGCATCAGTGGACTATTATCATTTTTGTGAATCAAGAATCGGAAGCATATTTGATCAATTATTTATATGGTACCCAGGAAAGAGGCCAACTGTTTTGCTTAGGAAAACAAAAATTATTCATTGTCATGGTGTTCTTTGGTGATTGGCTACCAGTTGTACAGGATAGAGACCACAAATTCTTAACGAAAGCTGTTGAAGAGGCTTATAAAGGGGTAGAATATGGGGACGGTGGTCCATTTGGTGCAGTTGTTGTCTGTAATGATGAGGTCGTTGTGAGCTGTCACAATATGGTGTTGAAAAATACAGACCCTACTGCGCATGCTGAAGTTACAGCAATAAGAGAGGTCAGACTCATGTGAACACGTGATTTATTTGTGTACAATGGGAAAATTTCACATGCTTGATTCGGTAACACTCGCCTATTTGATCTAGCTAAATGATTCAATTGACCACAAGAAATTTAGAATTGGCCTGGTGATAAAGTTCTGTCAGTGAAGTATCACAAATGTGTTGTAGTTCAGTTATTAGAATAAGAAAGTCCTAGTGAAATTAATAATTTCTTTATGGCGGTGGGAATGCAAAGAAGATTCGGCTCTAAGCTGAAACATCATGCAGTCATGTGCTTATGGTTGTGATGAGACTTGAGAACTTCAAAAGTTAATGTAGAGCCCTGAAATGTTATGGATTTTTTAATGTAGAGCCCTGTCACTGTTTACCATTTGTTCCTCTTACTCATTATGAACACATCTTTCAGGCATGTAAGAAGCTCAATCAACTCGAGCTGTCGGACTGCGAGATCTATGCATCTTGTGAGCCTTGTCCAATGTGCTTTGGTGCCATATTTCTTTCAAGAATTAAGGTTCATTCTTTGGGCTTTTCCATATTTTAGTTACCTAGCATTTTGTTTGTTGCTTATATTTTCTGAGGTTTTATCCGTATTTGTTCTTTTGGTGCAGAGGTTGGTTTATGGAGCCAAGGCCGAAGCTGCTATTGCAATTGGCTTCGATGATTTTATTGCAGATGCATTAAGGGGCACTGGGATTCATCAGAAGGCTCACTTGGAGATCAAAAGAGCTGATGGTGATGGGGCAATTATTGCAGAGCAAGTATTTGAGAAGACAAAAGCCAAATTTCCTATGTATTAAGAAAATAAAACTTCATGTTATTCTAATAAGGTACAGTTAAACTTCATGACCTATTCATAATTACGTGTTTGAAGAACTATTCGCATTGTCTTCGAATAAATATGGTCTTGAAGTTTCTGGCCGAATGTAGCATGTGGTGGATTTCTCAGCTACTGTTTGTTTCGAATAAATGAGTCGGTTTAATATGTTTTTTTTTCTTTTTGAGAATTACATGCAGACTTATTGAAATTTGTTACTTAATCATTTAGATCCTTAATATTTGAAATATTATACATGGACTTTTTAAAGTTTGTTGGCGCGTAACATTTAGATCGTTACAGTTAAATATCTATTAGTAAATTACACCTAGAACCCCTAAAATTTGTATACGTATAATATTTAGACTCTTCGAGTTTAAAATGTTATACTTAGACAAAAGAATATCTCATTTAAAGATAAAATATTAAATATTTTAAATTTTACTAGTAAAATTCTTGTTTTATTGTGACATTTATTGAAATAAAATAAAAATAAAAAATTAATTTTTTCTTAAAAATTATAATTAGTATATAATTATATTATCTATTGAAATTTAATTTGATCGTTTAAACAGTAAAATTAAATTATCAAATTACTCTAAATAAAGTTAGAAGATATTGTGTCCATTACAGTTTAATCCTGTGTTTTATTTTTTAGTTTTATTCTAATAAATAGTATAATTGTATATTAATTATGATTTTTTAAGAAAAAATTATATTTTGATATTTGATTTTATTTCAATAAATGACATAATTAAATATGAATTTTAGTTGTAAAATTCATGTTCTATTATGAATGATTGAGACTTCTTATTTGATTTTTTAGTTTTATGCCAATAGATAGTATAATTGTATACTAATTACAATTTTTTAAGAAAAAATTAAATTTGTATTTTTGATTTTATTCTAGCAAATAATACAATAGAACATGAATTTTGGTTACAAAATTTAAAACATTTGATATTTTATCTTTAATTGGAGTATTCTTGGTTTAAACATAATATTTTAAACTTGAGAGGTATAAGTATTATGCGCTTATAAACTTCAGGGGATCTGGATGTAATTTATTAACAAATATAATAACAGACATTGACGGCAGGGTCTAAGTGTTACACGCATTGTGTGATATTTTTAAATGTTAAGAAATGTAAATAATTAAGTTACAAATTTTAAAAAGTCTGAGTGTAATTCTTTCTCTGTTTCTTTTTTGTCGGTGAGTCATTTGCTTCTCCTAGGCTAACGGGATAGTGTTGTGAAAATAAGAAGCTATACCCAAGGTGTCATGGGGTCAGATTTTGCTAGAATTTTTTGCCTCGTAATAGTACTAAGATTCCACATTCAGTCTCAGCCAATTCACACAATCGCTCATAGAAACACACAGTTAACAGAATATGGGCAAAGCACAAAAGCTTACAACAGACACACAAGCATTACAGACCAAATAGCCAAACCTTTTTTTTCTCAGCAAGCCCAAAGAATACCAGCTATGGGTCTGCTTACAAAACGTGTCCAAAAAATCTTGGTTGTACTACAGACCTCAGCATGCCTATAAATAGCATACAATGTGGCGGGTTACAAGCCAAACCACCTAGGCAATGCAAATAAAAAATTAGATTAACCTACAAAACTACTCACAAATCTCCCTCATGATTTGCACATGCCAGCAACTGCATAGAACTGTCATGCATGCCATGTACATGCCAATAACTGTTTGGAACCGCCACCACTTGCAAAGCACATACTTTAATTGTTCAGAACCGCCTCACATGTTGTGCACCTGCATTTCTTGCGAGCCCACAATACCTGATTAACCTTGCCTTCGTGTCAAGCCATGTCTGGTCCATGTCTTGATCTTCCAAGTTAGCAATGCCTCATAACGAGCCCACCAGCTAGCCTTGTTTGTGCCCAACGTGCCCATGCATGAGTTATCTCACTTAGCCATACATGGGGCTTCAACCAACCCACTGGTTTTGCCCAACATGCCCATGTATGGGCTGCCTCCTATAGCCATACATGGGGCATCAATCAACCCACTGGTTGTGCCCATGCATGTGCTGCCTCCCTCAGTCCTTCATGGGGCTTCCGCTAATGATAGGTCCCACTGATCATTAGCCCCGCATCTCGGGTCTTGAACTTTGGAATGCATTGCCTCCACCTATGACAAGCATTTGTTAGAGTTGTGCCTTGCTTTGGTATGCCAAGGCTTAGGAGACCCTAGGGAAGCAGGCATAGCACCCCCTTTCGCGGAGCACCCTTCTATAATAGCGTTAATAAGCAAAACTCTTCTGACAGCAATAGACATACTTAGAACCTAGGAGTCATAATAACTTAAGTTAGAGGCATAGTCGTTACATGCCACTTGAGCCTTTACCGAACCACTTTGTAACCCACCAAAACACCAGTCCAAATTCTTAAGAAGCCAACTTTGTACTAAGGGTTTGCTTTACCAAAAAAAACCCAATTTGTCTAAAGCATGAACGTCTTTTGGCGAGGCAACCACATGCCAATGTCAAGCCAACAAACTAAGGGGATAACAAATGGAAACCTGCGCCATCTGTTCAATGGAGAGCCTTTGAAGGTTATATGTATTATGGAAAGTCACATATGTTAAATTATTTAGGTATATATGAAAACCCTTAATTAAGTTATGTATGAAACCGTTTATCAAATATTATGATAATCAATAAAAGTTTTACATGAACGTTATATATTTTAATAGTTATATATGAGAAGTTTAATGTACAAATAAATTCTTGGCCTATACAAATGTTAGATTAGATACTCAAAAATTTATAGTATAAATTAATAATTAAATTTAATTATAATTAAAATTGGTATTTAATTATTCAAAACTGAATTTATTATTTAATTTAATTACACATAATTTTTATTTTTATAAAAATACTATTATTTAAATTTATTTATGTGCAACCCATATAGTGTGTTGCTAGTCTAGTATAAAAATAAAACTAAAATGTCCCTCGTGGAAGATGATAGTGATTGGTAAGTCCTAGGTGAAGTCTATTGGACCAAAACAGTTTTTTAAGTATAAAAATTGAGTTTTTGGTCAACTTTGGGTCTAAATTAAAGTGGGACCCGATTCTCATTTTGAATAAAAATTCTGGGGTTCATATTTTACCCCATGAGGAGAATAATGTAGTATACTCACTTGCTCAAATCGAGTAAGAAATAAATGAGACATTAAGCTTCAAAGTGACCTTCTTGAAATGTGGAAATAAAAAAAGTACAATGTGGGATGGGCCCCAAGGGGTACCACAGTTTTATGCATGAAGCGAACACCTACATGCCTTTGGTTCAACCACACACGCGTGTGCGCGCCGTCTCACCTCGCCAAGACCACAACCTGACCCAGCCGGGCCGGTACGGGTGTGGGTATGGTTTAGACCAAGCCTTTTCTTTTTGAAGAAAATTTATTTAATTAATTGGGCCAGAATTTCTTAACCCAAAATTTAATTTCGGTACCCTTTGGATAGCATTAGGTCGGAATTGTTGCCTCCCTCCAAACCGAATTAAATTGTAATTGTTCATAGAAAACAGTTACCTAAGGTATCAATTGACTGTTGTGTCTTGTTATTCTGGGTTGTGTCTTTTAATTAGGTGACTGTCCGAAAAGTCACCAAAGTGTTTATAAATATCCAGTTCATGCATGCATTCAGACAATTAATACATTCATTCAGTCCGTTTTCAACAATAAGGCACACATTAGAACATATCATTAAGGCAGTGTATTCAGAGATTACACAACACGATTTTGGTTCACTGGACGAGTAGATTAGAATGTTACTTCTGTTCATGTAAAGATCATTGTATCCTGGGAGGCAGACGCTCGGTTGTCATAAGCACCATGTGTGGGGACGAAATCTGTCTTAAGGACATAATGTTAAACACTAGTCTTGATCTATCTGACGTTCAATAACAGTTCATGTTCTGCAATCACGTTAGTATTTTTATTGTTTAAACAAACAGTTACGTGTATCTATTTGTTATTACTATTTCATTACCTTGTTGTAACTCTTTCGTTTCTGTGTAACTTTTTATTGTAACTGTTTTGTTATATTTTACATGGTTCAAATCAAAAATTTTAATAATTGATTTTACGATATTTGACACACCTCAAACAACAAAATCAACCATAAAAGTACCTTGGAAATTCTTAGAACGATCACAATTTAAAAAAAATAACCTGCGAAGACATACAATGCCGCGTTGTTTCTGTGGGTAAATAACATATGCCGTGTTGTTATTAGACAAGGAACAGTAGTTTTATAGGATGATGGTGATTGATAGTTAATCACCATTATTGGTTAACATAAATTATTTCAACAATTTTTTTTGATAAATATATTATTATACTTTTTATTAATTTTCTTTTATGGTAGTTTACATATCGATAATATTAGCGGGACTTCCTATTTAGAAGTGAGTTTCTTACCAATTTATTATGATTGGTTTTAAATAAATATGAATGAAATTATAATAAAAATGATCTAATTTTATTCTTTTTTGGTCATATTATGCTGACATTGTGTTTGAAATTTTAGGAAAAGGATTCAAAGTCAAGATCACTAACTTCCTTAACCAAAAATAGGCTTATTCTTTTCTTCAGAAACTTGTGCAATGGTTGGAGAGAGAGAGAGACAACTGGTGTGCCAAGCCTGGACGCACTCCTTATCACCATTCACCATTTAACCCACCCACCAGACCAACAACCCAACGACACCCCCCCCGGGGGCCCTTCTCCAAAAAAACAAAAAACAAAACCAAAAAGTTTCAACCCCACCATCAATGTAACACTTACTAAGATCACTGTTGTGTATGCCCAGTTAAAACACTCTTTTTTTTTAGTTAATTGTGAGAACGTTTGGACCAGTTTACAAATATTTCTATTTTTTTTTCATCTACTTAAAAATGAATTATCCACGTCGACATTAAAATATTTACGAGAGATAAATCTCTCATAAC